TTAATTTAATAAACGCTTTTCTTCTTTGCTGCTATTATTTACAAACTTCCAAATTTCTTTTATTGTTAATTTAATCTTTTCAAATTCATAAATCTCAAATAATAATTAAGAGTTGATTTAAGTGAGAGGTTTTATGTTCGATTCTCGTCAAAGGTGAACTTGAACCACATTATTGCTAACCCATTGTGAGGCTTAGCCTACCCCCTTCCCTTTACTATAGATAATATCGTTTGTTAAAATAAAATAAAAAATAAAAAATCCCTTATGGGGTCGAAATATCCTGTGCTAGGGTTGCTCAATGCGACACATTGTGCAGTATGTTACAAACTTTTTCGGCAACTACTTTGGATTCAAGAACATGAACCTCTAGTCGGACTTAGAAAATGGCGAGTTCAAGTAAAAAGTAAGATTTAGATGGTAATCATGTTCTTCAATGATTTTATACAAATTTGAACAGCAATGCAACAATTCCAACCGACATGCTTCGAAAACATTTACTCAAATTTCACTCTTTTAAGGCTTTTATGCAGATTTATGAACAGAAATCTCCCTTTGAAACATATCATTCAATATGTTTGAATGAAATTTGTAACACAGGAAATGATATCATATAAATAAGGAAGATGAACAAGACGAACGCGTGCAATGGAACGCATAAGGAATACATTTGCAAATAAAAAAACACATTAGATAACAAGAACTGGTATTAATAACTGAATATATTAATTCAACAAGCAGTATGTCTTACTCACATGAACAATTAATAACTGGCCTCAACGTAACAAAGATCGCAACTAGAATTTCATTTTAAGTACCTCACGCAATTGCAGACGTTTTTTTGTGTGTTTCTTCTGATGCGTGAGGCATAAATTCTTCTCCAGATTCATGTGCAGGAGGCTTAAATTCACCTGGAGATTCGTACTCGGGAGGGCTAAATTGTTTGGGAAGAGATACCTCCCTAAGTGCGGCAAGAGCAGCTTTTCTCTTTTGCTTCACCTCCCGCCAAATCCTTATCTGGTCCTCTAGTCTTTCTTTCGCTCTCTCAGCGAGATCAGCCCTAGTAGTAGCCTGCTCAGCCCGGTTCCTGAATTGCGCAACCTTTTCCATTGCAGCTTCCAACTCCTTCTTCAAACTTTCGGACTTATCTTCCGCGGCGCTGAAGCTGAACTGACGACTAAGGCCTTCCTCCAATGACAAAGGAATTTGATCAGCCTGCTCAGCCTTCTTAACCAAGGATTCGTACTCCTTCAACGAAATTGTTACTTGGTAATAGTTCTCATCCTTTTGCTCTTCAGCTTCTTCCTTCAGTTCACCAATTTCGGAAACCTCAACAAAATCAACAAGGGGAGATTGTTTGTCCGTTTCTGCATCTGCGCTATCTGCTCCTTGCTTTAACATTCTGTTTTCGTTCTTGGCAGTTTCAGCTTCTATTGCTAGTTGCTGAATCGCGAGGTACAACCCCGATTTCACATTTTCGGTTCTTGCTTCAGCTGCCTCTGCTGCTGCAATTTTTGACCTCCCTCTATGAAGCTCAGATTCCAGCATTGCTATCTCAACCTGCGCATTGTTTTCCCTTTCTGCCATCTCACCAAGCTCTATTATAGCTTTCTGTAAATCCTCAGTAAGAACTTCAACGTCGCGCTTCAGGCTGTTGGCCACTTGACTTGCATCAATAAGCTCCAATTTTAATTGATTCAGTTCCATTTCTAGTGCCCTGATGAAACCTCCCTGATCCGAGATCTTTCTTTCCTTCTCTTCTAACTCCTTTTCTAGCTGCTTCAAGTCATTCATGGCATCAGAAGACGCCATCTCAGAGAAACTAAGGTTTTCATTCGCCTGTTTAATCTCCAACTGAAGCATCTCAATGAACGAAGACTTGGCTTGGAGCTGATTCTCCAACTCCTCCATCTTCGCCATTTGTTTGTTTGAATCTTCAAGCTGCTCCTGTACTAGAAGAGCAGCCTGTATAGCTACCTCAATCTCAGCATCTTTCGCAGATAAGATCGCTAACTTCTCTTTCTCTCCTTCACTAGCAGCAACCCTTGACATAACCATGGCTTCACTTAACTCCGAGACATGTTTAAGAAGCTCTTCTGCCCTCTCTTTTTCCATCACGAAAGCTGTTTCCATCAGCTCCGCTTGCGTTAGAGCTTTTAGCTCTGAATCTCTAGCGTCCGCGAGTTTTGTTTCCATGCTAAGCAGCTCTGCTTGTGTAGCCTTCAACTCACCAAAAACGTGCATGAGCTGCTCTCTCACCTTCAGAGTTTCTGTCAGCTGATCTGCCATCTCCTTTACCTTGAATTCGAGTTGGTATATCTGCGCCCGAGCCTCTTTACATTCCTCAACGTACTTATCTCTTTCGGACTCGATGTTTTCAAGGAGGGCGGAGAGTTCATCTGCAGTGTACTGGTGGTGTTGCAGCTTGAGAAGGGCTTGCATGTAGGCAGCATCTTTTGCTTCCAGCTGCACCTTGTAATTGGCCAAATCCTTCAACACACCTTCAAGCTCCCTCTTTTTCTCACTATCCTTCTGAAAAAAAAATTTGTGGCAATCAACAAACTTAAGAACAATATTTGCATGCCAAAACAGCCTATCAAGAGAATGGTTACATACAAACTACCAGATTATGTATTTAGTTAATTAGTTTTGGTAAGCATCTTCAAATATACCTTTCCATAAGCACTATACGAAATCAAATTTGGTGAAGAAAGTTGAGGTTTCATTTCTGCAAAGTTTCTTAACTTTGCGATATGGGAGAATTGTTCACATCCTTCACATCTCCTTTCACGCGTGGCAAAAGTTCAAGCCTAATAAGAACAATTGAACTGGGTTGACATAGAGCACAACTCCTTAAAAACAATGGTAGTAGTAGGAGTAGCTCAACTCCTTATGAACTTGCAAGTCTTTTAACTTTTCGATGTGAATTAGTTTTTCACATCCTCACATTTGGAACCCTAGAAATGCTAGAAATTACCTTATAATGATCGTGCATCACTTGTTTTTTTTTTTAATTCGAATAATATTCTAATGTAATCTAAATTACGGTTTACGATGAATGAGATTTGAACTTGGATGCAAAAGTATGAGCAGACGGTGCTAGCCAATTTTACTATGCCATCATACATCACATCTTTAAATACACAGTATAATTGCATGGAAAAAAAAATGAAAATATGAGTTACACTTGAAAACCATATGCACATATCACAACTCAAACTTAAAGGAAGGATCTTCCAACAGAACTGAGCGGTTAGGCTGTTCATGTGTACACATACAAAGTTAGATCACTTACATCTGTGCCAGAAACCCGCTTTTTCAGGTGATCAGTCTTCTCTTCAAACAAGGACAAAGCAGCCCGGACTGATTCAATTGGTTTGGTATCAATCTCTCCCATATTTCCCAGTCAGTTAAATCATTTATGGGCGAAATTGTATTGATGAAATAATGATACCTGACAGGGAAATTGAGTGAGTGAAAGTGGAGAAAGAAGTGTACAGGAAACTTGATGTGAATTCTGGGAATTATTGATAGAATGAAACACTGTTTTATTTGCTTTGGAGGATGCTACAAATTAAGGAGAAGGTCCTTCCAGTGTAAGTTCCGCCGGTGCTTTGGATTGATCACCAAAAATGGCAGAATACAAAAACCTCTTTGGTTCAAAAGATTAGGAGCAACAAATGTAGTTGGACTATGTTTGTTATAGTTGGACTATGCGATATATAGATAGATTACAAAAATATGCCTGCGCACTTGTGTGCTAAATCCAATTTGTTGTTGGTAATAATGGTATATACTATATACCATAAATTTTCCAGCATATGACTCCCAAATTCTGTATCCACGTCTGTAGTTCGACGTGGGCAAGTCTATGCTCTAAACTCTTCTAAAATATATATATCGTTATCGTCATTTATGTGAATCGAACTTAAAATCTCCTTTAATGAGAGACTATTTAGTAAATGTATGGAAAACTGTACACACAAACATCTTCATATCTATACTATTACAAAGCTATTTAGTAAATATACATGACTAAAATAAAATCTTTCGTATATGCATAAGCGCGTGTAAAAAGGGCTATCTTAAAGAGCCGACTTGTACTTTGTCACTTGGAATGGGGAATACCAACTGTGATGGATGACCTGTAATTGTCTCATGGCACTGCTTCAAAATATATATAGGTCATGTGCCCCAACACTGATTGAACTATTATTGAATCTATGAATGGAGAAAATGGTGATGTTTCGTCCTTGTCTTCCTTAACGTACAAAATAATTAACAATTATGATTCGCTTGATTGAATTAGAAGCATATAGTTAATGGGATTGTTAAGAAAAAACGAATTAAGGTCATCCCCATATAGATTAACTTAGAGTTTTGGTTGTTTTGAGCTACATAGGCTTGGATATGGTTTATGGGGTGCATTTTGGCTCACTACTCTTAAATGGTGGTAATGCTCACCACCTTACTTATTACCATTGGATGAGTTTTTTTGGAAAAATCCGTTGGATGAGTTTAAATTTTGAGATTTGTGTCCATTCACTACACATATCTTGAAATGTAAACTCATACAACGTTGATAAATAAGGTGGTGACTCAAGCCGCCACACACCAATCTTTTCTTTTAAAGGTTTTCAAATTTGGATATATTGAGAATTTTTTTCTTTCATGAATTATTGGATCATTTTAATTAACTATTTTTGCAGTACTTGTTTGATACTGAGGTGCTTTTATAAAAAGTGGGTATCAAAAAAAGCTAAGCTCAAAAAGGTGTTTGATAAACACTTAAAACAGCTATTTTTACAGTTTTTGGTGGAAAAAAAAGCTGAAAACGTGAAGCAGCAAAAATGTGCTTATTCTCACAACACAACAAAAGTAATTTTTTTTTCAAATCACAACAATACCAAACCAGCGCAGCCTAATGTGAGTTTGGCAGATTGGCAGTTGCCAATGATACTTCATATGCTGATGTCTCATCATCTCTCATCTCTTAATTCTATTTTTCTCCAACAAGCACACATATTGAGAGAGAGAGAGAGAGAGAGAGAGAGAGAGAGAGAGAGAGAGGTTGAGGCATTGTTCTTCTTCTTCTTCTTTCTTCTTGCAATCTGGTGTTTTAGAGAAGAGTTGGAAAATGGAGAAAACTCTGACAAGAGTTGGGAGATTTTGGGTTTCCAAGAAAGCTAAGGAAGAGATCTCCAACATCACTCAAGATCTCTCTGTATGTAATTCTACCACCCTAACTTCCACACATACACTCTCACCCTCTGTTGCATGCATTGTTCTTGATCTTGATTATATTGTTTTCTTTTGTTGGAATTAATCTTGGATTAATGCTGCTTAATTGAGATCTTTTTGTTATGTCTAAGATTAATTGTCTTTATATTTGCTTTTACTAAATCTTTCCCAATTCCTAATGCTTTTTTTTTCTTCTTTTAATTGAAAATTTCAGTCATTATCAAACACTGTTGAGGAGAAAGCAAAACGGATATTCAACAAGCTCAAAGGTACTTATGGAGCCTTTTATTTTAACCTCATTCCTTGTGATTTTACTCTATAAGAATACATTGAATGTCATATAAAAATTTGACAAAATTAAATATGACTTATTTGGAGTGGCTCCACTTTTGCTTAGACTACCGCTTTTTGTAATAAAACTCCTACATCTGTTATATTGTGCTAATGGTAAGATGCATGCAAGCTGATGGACGATATATGCTTGATGTAATCAAATAGGGTAGTGTTATCCGCACTCCTATTTTTACTTCTCACACACCTCTCTTAATTTTTTGCGATCTAATGAATTGAAAATGATCAATGGCAAAAAAAAAAAAAAAAGGATGTGTGGGAGGTAAAAATAGGTGCGTGAATTGTATTATCCATCAAATAGTTAGGCATCATACAGAAAAACTAAAATGGTGAATCAACAACTAGTCAATATGGTAATGCATGTATCCTTAACTAGTTATGGAGTATGAGTTGGTTTGAATGAGAACGAATTGGATTTTTCAAAACATGTTCTTGGCCTAATACAGCCTTAATTTTGTGTGCTATGTATGAATGGTTTTGGTACCTAGCTGGACTGACCCAATTTATTCTTTAATCACATGGCTATTCACTTGATTAATCAGAAGTACGACTTTATAGTTCTTTAAGTTCATACTTAAACCCTTCTGTCTATCTTCTTGTACAGGTAAGCAACAAAAACCGTTGCCTGATCTTCTCCGAGAGTACTACCTTCCACCCGGCCTGTTTCCCCGGAACATAACATGTTACGAATTTGACGAATCAAAGGGCAAGCTCATTGTTTACTTGCCTTCTCCCTGTGAAGTGAGCTTCAAGGACTCATCTGTTGTACGATACAGCATTCGCATCAAAGGAACATTGTCGAGGGGAAAGCTTAGTGGAATCGAAGGAATGAAGACAAAGATTCTGGTGTGGGTGAAAGTCACTAGCGTTTCTGTCGAGGGCTATAAGTCTGACAAAGTATGGTTCACCGCTGGTATGAAGAAATCACGACCCAAAGATGCTTATGAAATGCCTCGCGATGCTATTATAGTCGAAGAATTCTAAGGATGTGTGAGGTTTTTCGTTTTTACACGTTATATTTTCGGAATATGAAAATCTTAAGCAAATACTTGTGCACGCAATTGTTTTCTTTTATTCAATATGCAGAAATTGTCATGCGACTTGATCATTTTCCCAATATAATAGATTTCTGAAAGATGTAAAGAAAAAAAAATGACCATTCACAACAAACAACTATGATAAAAAATAAACTGATAAAACCTCCACAACTCCGTCAGTTGAGTTGGGTTGGAATGAGTTAGGGCGACTCCTCTCGGAAAGAGCGAGTTCAAGGGCGGGCGCCGGGCAGGTTCACTTCGCGCTGATGCCTTTGAGAAATGCTGTCTGAATGTCAAAGAAGTGAACTGTACATATTGGTGGATGTTGCAATTGAGCTTGTTCCCACGGCCAAAATGATCGCCAAAACTGCAACTATCTTGTCCCTTCTTCTTGTTATACGATTTCCATCCTTGTCAAGAATGTGAAACTATAAACTGCCTTATAGAAAGCGGAAATTCCATGCATCCTTTTTCTCCTTTTGCACATTCCGGTTTATTTCTATTCCTTGATTTTTTTTATTTTATTTAATTCAATCTAAGGCGCAAAATAAACAAGGATGTTCATAGAGAGAAAACGAGTATGTGAAAATCAATTCTCCATATAAAACATGCTTGCAATGCAATCTAGAGAAGTAAATAAGGTCAAAATTATTTATTTTTCTTACTTAAGATTAGAGTGGCTGAGAATATAAACGAGAGACAAACTATTAACCACTGAATGTATAATGCCCTAAATGTATTGAACAGAGATATGTAAACAGAAATGAAGAAAGGGAAGAAGTCGAGAGGTTTGTATTTCACAGAGTAGAGAAAGTAGAGTTTTTCTGAATACCAAACATCCCTACTATATCAGCTATTTATACTAGCTAATATCACATTACACAATGACTCTATTACCCTTTTCTAACAACTCCATTCTAACTAACTCAAACTAAGTAACTAACCAATGACACACTGCCATATGTCAACATGACTATGGTTATTACAAACCATAGTAGTTGATCGCATGAACTGAAAGAAACACCATATGTTTGGGATAACAATGCCACTGTGTAAGTAAAGAAGAGCAAGGCGCAAGTGAGGGATACAAATCTTGAGGTGTCCCGGGACAAACTAGGCTTCTTTACGAAAAGCAAGTCGTCTATGCTCCCCGTCAAGGAGAAGTTAATAACACAGAACACGAGCAGGAGACGAGGTGGTTACCTTAATCGAACAATGTCGTTGAGATCTGAGGTCCAAAGCGGAAATCAGGGTTTTGATCAAAGTTTTGTCGAGTCACCAAACTACGTCGCCAAAGAAACTAATCAAAAAAGTAAATGTCAACACATATCAAGAGAGAAATCCGAGCAGCTGAGCTCATATCAGAAGGCTTGCCAAGCTCTGGTCTAATCGGGTGAACTGCAATATTCATTCACACATTCATTCACCCGTTTTTCATATATCAGAAAATTACTTGTACAAAAGAAGATCGCACGGTGTTTTTGTAGCAAGAGGCTCACCAATCACCATTGACATGAAACCATAAGAAAAAGCCCTTGGAAATTTCCACTTAATTAAAGACAGCAAAAACAAATGAGGTTTAGAGGAGCTTTGGCAACAAAAAATCATCACTGAATTCAATTTCGATCGAATGCAGATTGGAACGAAATCATTTGACATAATGAAGGTAATAGAACGAAATTTTGGATGAGATGAAAGGGAAATGAATCATGTGCATTTCCTTCCGTTGCATTGAATAGATATAAAAGAAGAATTAAGGGCCAAAATTAAAAGAAAATGCGTAGATAGTGGGAAAATGTGTGCAGAAATCACTATCAAAAGAAATTGCAAACCAATAAAGAAGTGAATAAGCAAAAAGCAGGTGTAACAACCCATCCCATAATTTACGGAACGGAAGGGTTTCTCGTAATTTCACTTGGTTCGGACCAGATATTTTGTGAAATGACTACTTTTTGGGTCTTATTATGTGTGCCCAAGGGGGCCCACTACTTTTGGGTTTGTCCCCCGACCCCAATCTCTCTTCATCTCTCTTTCTCTCTCTCTCTCTCTTTCCTGTGGACTCTCACTCAAAACCTTCTCCCAACTATCTCTCTTCTTCTCTTCGAACAAAGATAGTGGCACCACCCTCGGCAAGCACCACCACCCACCACCATCACTCTTCCCTCTCTGTGTGAAACCTGGAGTAAATGCACTCAAACCTCTCCGTGCCTCGTGGTACCTTGGCACTTGTCACATCCTTGGCTCGACTCCGCCGTAGCACGATATTGTCCATTTTGGGCCCCGACCACGCCCTCATGGTTTTGTTTCTGGGAACTCACACGAGAACTTCCCAATGGGTCACCTATCCTAGGAATGCTCTCGCCCAAACTTGCTTAACTTAGGAGTTCCAATGGAACTTGAAACCAGTGAGTTCCCAAAATGCCTCGTGCTATATGGAGGTGAGCATGTACATATAAGGCACATCCCCCCCTCTCCGTTGGTCAATGTGGGACGTTACAGCACTGCCACTATGCACCTCCCCCTCCGACTAACCCTCGACGTATGTAAGGCCTAGAATCACTTAGATGGTGTTTATATGTGAATTTGGGACAATTTTGAGTTGTTTTTATGGATTGTGGACATAGAACTCTCATGGGAAAAACCTTTCCCAATTTGCCGGTAAGGAACCTTGTCTTTGTAGACGTTTTCCAGCCAGCCGCCACATGTCATGAATTTGGTATAGATCTCTTCCTTGTTCCTTAGGCTTCATTTTAGTATTTTGTTTGACATGTTTTGGTCACGTTTTAGGGTTGGACGGAGCTTGGAAAGCTCCGGCTTTCCTCTTCCTCAAAACCGGCCAACCCGATCCAAACCCCCAAACCCATCTCAGTTGTTTAGCCCAAAGCCTTAGGCCGGGCTACCTAGGCCCAAACCTAATTACCTAGCTCAACCCAAATTCCCTCAGCCCAACCCAGTTTAGACCCCAGCTGAACCTGGGCCCAAACCTGTTACCTAATCCATCCTTGAACCCTTAGGCCTGTTACCCTTGTGTTGACTTTTTGTTGATTTTTTCGAAATTTACCCACGACCCTTCTTAGGGTAATTCGACATCCTGAATCCATTTTTTATGTCCATTTTCCCAAATTCAATTAGAGTTTTATTAATTGAACCCTTTATGTGCTTAGGGGCAATTGTTTGTGGCGTTTCAGTCTTTGCTATTTTGCGTGGCTCTTCAACGGCGAAGTATCTGTGAGTGGACCCCTTCTAAAATACATGTTTTAATAGTATAAATGCACACATGAAAAAGCATGTTTTTATGGTTACGTTGATAAGCATGATTTATGGTTACGTTTTATGAGTAAATTAGATTTACACCATATGATTATCATGCTTTACTAAGAATATTTTGGAATACCGTACTTTATCGAATTTATATTCTTTGTAGTATGTATGATGGATGACTATATACTATTTACGAACATGTTTTTACACTCTTTGTAGTATATATGATGGATGACTATATACTATGAAGATGTTTTAAGATAAATGTACTTATGTTGGAAAGATTATATTCAATGTTTTGTGCTTATCTAGTGGTCAATGTTTTGCCTACGGGCGATGATACTTACTTGGCCTATGATGGATGACTATATACTATGAAGATGTTTTGAGATAAATGTACTTATGTTGGAAAGATTATATTCAATATTTTGTGCTTATCTAGTGGTCAATGTCTTGCCTACGGGCGATGATAGTTATTTGGCCTACGGGTCGGGTGATGTAAGGGCCTACAGGTCAGAAGATATTATATTTGGCCTACAGAACGGGCGATGTAAGGGCCTATGGATTGGAAGATATATTATATTTAGCCTACGAGTCAGGTGATGTAAGGGCGTATGGGTTGGAAGATATATTATATTTAGCCTACGGGTCAGGTGATGTAGGGGCTTCGGTCTATTATGATAGCACTATTTAGCACATTATATACGATATATGTTTTATGAAAGGTTTTATGGCATGCTAGGGTTTCGGAAAACCTATTACATATTATGCTATTAGTTTTCATAAAACTTTGGGGGTTAGTACGTTGATAAATAATTGTTTAAGTATTATATATATATATATATATATATATCAACTTGGTCCACTTATGTTTGTTTTGCACCCCCTCAGGATTTAGAATCAAGGCGTACAATCCCGGCGTCAAGGGACTTCCACATCGACATCTTCGAGTTCTCTCAGTGTAGGACCCATTCCTTTGCTCATTCAATTTTATATTATTTCTTTTTAGTGGTTTAGTTAGTTGTATGCTTTGAACAATTCCTAAGTTGCATATTCATTGTATTTTAATTCATAACTTTTATTTATATTCATTGTTCTTATGCATGTTGGTATGGCTTCGTCACCTTCGGGTGTCGGCCAACACGTGCTTACCCTGGTATTTGGAGAATATCAGGGTCAAGTGTGTCAGAAGAGCTGATAGAGTTATCCTCAAGCTTTAGATCAGATCGATATGATCTTAACTGTTGTAATGAAATCACAAGTAAGAAAGTGGCAGGAGAGGAATTACAAGTGTTACAATCTAATCTGACATTGCACCCCCAATTAGTCTCTTTAGATCAGATCGATATGATCTTAACTGTTGTAATGAAATCACAAGTAAGAAAGTGGCAGGAGAGGAATTACAAGTGTTACAATCTAATCTGACATTGCACCCCCATATAGCCTGTAATGATTTTTTTTTTTTTTTTTTTTTTGTTTCGCGATAACAATATTTGTTTTGGTCATGGTAACATGAATCATGTCTCAATATGTCTAGTGCTTTGTAAACGTTCTAGTTGGGGTCATTCTTTCACAACGTAGAATTGCTAAGAGGGTTGTGGTTAGTTTTCGGGGGACAAACTGAAGGGTTGAATTTGGTTGGCTTTGGCCTTTGTTTGAGTTACTTAGATATTGATAACATTATCATATCATATCCTCGTTGATTCAATATTGGGAGTCGGAAATACAAATTTTCTTAAGTTCTGGTATGCATTTTGATTATTTGTGAAAGAGTTCTGAGTAGCAGACAGCAGGGAGGGAAG